CACTGCAAGTTCAGCTCAAGACACGCGGCCCGTTGGATGACGTGGGACAGAAGGCAGCTACGTGGACTTTGGCTTTGGCTCCCTGGTGCGGCCATGCTGTGCATCCTTCATGGTCAGAACCTAAAGATCATGCCATGGTCTGTCAACACCTGTGATCAGGCACAACATGGGGATCCTTTTCTCAACTGCAGGTTACAAGCCTTCGGCACGTCCGGTCTCTGGATCTGGTGTGTCAAAGATCGGCAAAGGAAGCGTCATTTTTCCTCTGCCAGCTTCGGGAGTTTGTCCGCTCGCACATGCATGGCACCATGCTGAGGTCATCTTACATCGGCTGTCAACAGGTTGGACAGGCCCTAACCTTAACCCTTGAAACGTCTTGCAGCTGTCCTGCGGGACTTTCTCCGTCTTTTCTTTCTGCTCCTGCCAGCCAGCATCGGCAATGTCTAAACAACTATACTACTTGCTTTCCATCGACAGTGAGAGTTTGCAGCTGGCTCAAGATTCACATCTGCCGAGAGGTGGCAGAAGTGGCTATATCCAAAGCTGCATGGCAACATGTTGCAATGTTTTCTTAACCAGACTAACAGGTGACGGACATGGGAGAACGAGCCTGCTTCGCTTCCGCGAAGAAGAAGACGAGCTATCTGCCAGCTGCAGGCTTCAGGGCTTGAGACGCAAGATTCTCGGCTTGGTACGGCAGCTTACCCGTACGTAGCAAAACTTCATGATCTCACTCACTGCGTCCTATGTCTACCTCACGATGGATGCTGCGGAAAGGTTTCCATGAAGCATATTCATTCACAAACTTGCATCCAGACTTGCACCTTGATGGGGCCGTTCTCGCCGCTCGTTGCGGCGGAAAACCTTGAAACCGGCCCGGGCACTGCCCTCCACGCGCCAGGCTTCCTCAGCCTCCTGCACCTGCGGATCAGGAACCGCGAGTAGGATGAGATGAGTCATCACGTTGTACACAAGTCCAGACTTCCAGCAACGATGTTTTAAAGATGTGAAGTCGTATGACATGGTCATATGCCTCATGTCTGCAGACATGGAGACATGGTGGTTTAGCGGGCATTAGCGGGCGCCCTGTGTGTGGTCCCGGCCTCCTCTTTGGTCAGCCTCAAAGAAACAAAGTGGAGTGATGAGTTCAGCCAGCGGACAGCAATGACAGTTCTTGTGTGCCGGCAGAAGGTACCAGCGGATAAGTCCATAGAATTCCATCAGGGTTTCGAGCTACCAACATGAGGGGGGGGATTCTGCAGCTCCAGTCGGACAAAGACATTGACTTCTGGTCGAGGGCGGTGTCTTCAGTTGCAGGCATTGCCCCAAATGCCAAGGGGATACTGTTGGAGTTTGTGCAGTCAAAGGGGCATAGCTGAACTTGCTTTTTCTCTTAGTCCTACTGCCGGTGCGTGTGTGCGTGTTTGGTACGACCACCCCGCGCCCCAAGCTCTGTCTCCAACCCAGCTTAGCACTGTTGTGAGGGATCACAGGGGGAAGAGTTCTGTTCCCGTGAAGTGGGCTGTCTTGCCTAAGTGCCCAAGCCGCCCGGCTTGGGGAGGCGGGCTCATGGAGGTTCGGGTGGCGTGGGCGGAAGAGATGGCGGGAGGGAACGTTTCCGTTGGCCGGAGTGCACCCCAGGCCGTCCACTCACGCACTCACTCACTCACATCGACAGTGACGACTGAAACACCCAAGGTGGGAGGATGTGGAAAGGGCCGAACGCGGGCTTTGAAGATCTCTGCGATGATCGGACCAGTCTGGCTACCTCATTGCAGAGTGGCGGATGCATCTCAAGCAGCTGGCCATAGTGTGGTTGCATCATCTAGCACCTACTCGACGAACAAACGGAGGGAACCGTTATTGTGCCTCAGTATCAAGCCACTCATTGAAAAACTACAGGTGGCACGAGGTGTGGGCACTTTCGTCTGCAGCGGCATCCAGACTGAATCCAAGCGCCTGCACGTCCAAGAAGGGATGCGCAGCATCAACAGCATGGTACCATAACGGCTCTCAATCCGCAGTCTAGGACGGGCAGGGGAAGCAAGCACAGAGTCAGTCCAGCGGCACTTTTTGCTGGATAGATCTGGACATCCGCAGCCTCACCCTCCTCATCGTCTTCCTTCATGGACACCTCTTGATCGCAGCTGCCGTCAGGCGATGCCGCAGCGGAAGCCTGGCATTGGATGCCTCATTTGAGAAGCCCACTTTGCTGCAATGTGTCTACAGATTTAGTGTCGCGCTTTAAGAATTCAATCAGGGTTTTGTGCTCGAGCTACGCGGATTGCAGCATCGGCTCTTGAAGCTCGTTTACGCGGTTGCGGTGCGGTATCGACGCTTCGTCACCGACTTTGAAGGGCTTGCACCTCTTGGGCTTGCACCTTTTCGGTTTGACAAGCAGGGGACGGGCTTGAGCTCACATTCCGACCGACATCATGCACTTAGCGACTTCGACATCTCTAAGAACATCTCGCGCCTTGTTTGAGTCCTTTCGTCTATCTAGTCATCTCATGCCTCAGCCGGTAAGAGATACTTCTTACAGGCCGCAGAAGCATTGTGTGCGAGCTGGCCTCAAAACTCGCCACGAGCTGTCCGACTGCGCTTGAGAGCTGCGCCCCAGGGGTTGGCAGGCCCAAAGAAAAGCAGGAACCGAGCAATACTGTGTAACCAAATTGAACCTCTAGATTAGATCCAAGGACTATCATCTGCAGAGACGAAGCTTGGGATGTTGTAGTGTTGGCAGCACCGAAAACGAGCATCAAACCCAGCAGGTGAACCTATAGAAGGAGGGAGGATCAAGATCAAAGGCCTCTGGGGCGGACTACTCGTGGTAAGCTTGAGGCCGTGCTGGATTTGAACTTGCGGCTGAAAGTTTCATGTCGTTTCTATGTTGTCCTTGCGGGCCACCAGCCCGCGCTTGTTGCAGGCTTGTGTTGGTGGCCTTGGGGCCACGAGCCAACACCTATCCGAGGCCACCAGCCGCGAAGCATGTTTGCCACTTCGTGCTTTTGTCTGCCATGGGGTGAAGGAAAGCACGCGGCAGAAGGGTGCAATGCAGCTGTGCGAGCAACAGGGCTAGGCCAGGGTTTCATGTTTGTGGGCTCTTCTGCTTCGGCTCTGCCATGGTCGGATGGCAGCATGCATCATGTAGCTTGTGGGATTAGTGTGAGTGCAACGACCTCTATTAGATGCTACGAGCATGGCAATCAGATTTGGTGTGCAAGGTAGAGCTTACCACGGTCTGCTGCAACATCCCGCCGCGAAGTGCATGCGCAGCCTCGATTTCGGGGGAACGTCGAGCACGATCACCTGTGCCAACACGACAAGCCACTACCTCCACAGTCCACAACTTTGGGATGCATAAGCAAGATAAATGAAACCTTCATCACAAACATCACAAACACAATCCCATGACGCAACCAGGTGCAAACCCTTACATGATGTGGACTTGAGCTTATAACCCTCCGAACAAGACCGCAGAATCGTTACAGTCGGCCGCCCAACAACAAACCACCACCGCCACCGCCACCACCGCCACCACCGCCACCACCGCCACCGCCAACACCACCACCACCGCCGCCGCCACCACCACCACCACCACCACCACCACCACCACCGCAGCAACAACGACAGCACTCTAGCGCTGGACACTGAAGCGCACGCTTCGAGTTAAGGGCTCAATCTTCAAGCTGTAAGGCTAGTAAGGCTCTGACTCTCTCCTTGCTTCTCAATTCCGGGGCATAAGAATGGCTTTTGGAGCCGAGGAAGAGAAGAATTGTTCCTTTTCCAGCCTTGAGAGGGGGGGGGGGGTGCGGGCAACACTACTTCATGCTACACTCATCGGCTCCAGGCTAGCTGCATCAACAGCTGTATCAACTGTGCCGCAGCTACTAGAAGGTTGTTTCACGGTGCAGCGGCCTGCAGAGCCCTCAAGATTGTTGAAGAATGTTTTAACCATTGCACGCTTCAGGATGCGATTACTGCAACGGTTAACTTAACCAACCCCCATCCTCCTTCTCAGACAGAGGGCACCCGGGCTGCTCCTCCAGCTACTGCAACTACTGTCCGGGTTTTACATGTGTTTTTATATCGACAGCTTAGCTCAAGCACCTACATGTCAAACTTTTGCTGTGGAATTCTTTTCGCCCGCCCATCGCACTTGCAAAGCGGTAGTAGTGAGAACCCTGCAAGGGCCGAAGCCTACTCGGGCAAGGAAAGTCAGCACTGGCCAGCACCAAACCGAAGGAGCTGCTAAGGCAGTTAAGGCAGTTAAGATTCAACGGCCTGAAGTCGACTCGCACGGCCAGCTCTGTCGGGGAGGCCGCTCTTTGCGTGCAGAAGTCCGCAAGTCAGAACCACAAGCTCACCCATGTGGCCCTCGTTTCGCGCCTCAAGGCCGACCGAAACTGCAAAGGTCATGCCTTCTTCCAGTCGCCTCCGCCTCTTCAAGAACGTGTTTGCTGAGGCAACAATCTTGAAGGCCTTGGCTGCGGCTTTTCGGCCAGCCGCCCGGAGGGCCGTGCCTTGATCAGGTAGCCTCCCAACCACAAGCCCGGCAGCCAAGGCTGTGTTGGTCCAGCGGGAAACGAGAAAGCGGTCTCCGGCACCGGACAAATTCCACTCAAAAGCAGAAAGAATTCGAAGCCTCGGATGGAACGACTCCCGCTCGGAGCTCGCCAGCTCTTTACTCGAGTCATCTGTCGACTTGATTTCCTCTGGCACCATGTACAAACAATGCGGCATCTTGACCCGGCGTTGCTCAGCTTGTACCTGCTCTGCCGCTCGGCGCAAGGCCAGCAAGGACCAGTAGACCGTGTCGGTACTAGAACAATCCACAACACACGACGTGTTGTCTGACATGCGCTTTCTGATCGAGGCTGCAAGTTCATCAATGCTAGTGCGGCTGTCACACTGGATGCTTGTGCTATACAGCCTCCATGCAGTGGGACGGCCGTGCCGCTGATTTCTGCAGAAATGGCGCAGGCCTTCAAACTTTAGACCTGCAAGCAGCGCGCCACGAGTCCAATCCCGTGTCCAGAACATGGCGCGCGCCGCACAAGTCGTATCATGCAGGAAACAGGAGTTAGTTCCACATGTCCCGCAGTTATGAGGTACTAGCCAAGCTTGAAAAAGCTATCGAGAAGAGCCTGTGTCGCATCAACATTCACCTATCAAGCTTCGCGGAGGCTTAGCGACTCGCGCTTCGAACCAACATGATTTGTTGCTGCTCCTTTTGATCGCTGAGTCACTGTGTTTCTGCCTTCCGCCTTGCTCAGGCCCGGGCCCCGGGCATCGCGTTGCAGCTCCTCCGGTCACAACGTGCCGTTTTCACTGAAGCCAGAAGCAAGCAAGATGGCCAAGATGGGCATCGTGACAGCTGCAGCATGCTGCAGCTAAAAAATGCGACGCTGCGTCCTCGCCACTTTGCCGCTCTTGCTTGTTTAACGTGGTCCGAGTCAAGACTGGCCATGGTGTCAGATGCAAAAGCTATCCGCTTCTCGCACAGCACAGCATCTCGGAGTTGCATATCGGCCCTCACTCCGCGTACCTCGTACCTCGGCATCCTCGAAGACCTGTGGCTGTGCACATTGCGCCTTACCTCCGAAACTTGAAGCCTGCCTGGAAGAGGCGGTCTGCTTTGGGATCCCGATCCCTCAGGGCTGACGGGACTCGCAAGAATGAGACATTAGTGAACATTAAAGAGTTGCTCAATTTGCTAGGTGCAAAAGCCTTCCCAGGTCCAGGGCTTTCAGGTTGCGGCGGTGCATCCACTAGCACAAAGCATCAGGAATGATGTGCAGTAAGGAATGAGGTGCGCAGGTGTCTGCTGTCGCAGTTGAAGTGTCATGGTGCTCAAGCTAGAGGCTGGCAAGCCTTGCCACTGGACAAGCTGGCATCGCACAATGTCGCACAAGTCATTGCTTAGATGTGCTCAGATTCGAGCATGTACAAGCAGCTGAGGCTGGTCCACCCCCCCCCCCTGCTCAAGCTATGGCCAACCGCTCCGCTCTTCGCAAGAAACCTTGTTTGTCACTCCGCATGCTCGTGTGCTGTAACGCAATGCCGCTGCCGGGACCAAATGGCGACTATGGACAGACATACCACAGGTGGAAGGGAACAGTTCAAATGTCAGCTCTCACATTCCAGCTGTTCTCTTCCACCCGCAGTACAGCAGAAGACTACAACGCTGGCTGTTGCAGCACGTTGCGGCCATGCGGACTAAAGAACCATGCGCGTCACCTTGCGTGCAAGGCTCGCAGATGCTACCTGTAGGTTGTAAGGGACCGGCCCTAACTACGGTACAATTCTTCAGGAACAGAAAGGAAGGACCAATAAGGAGGATTATAGGATTATTACCGAGGTATGAGATCTGGGCTGCTGCAAGCTTGCAGACGCAAACGGGCGATTGCAACTCTTTTAACAATGAGCTGAGTTCCAAATCCACACTTGCCGCCTTCTTCAGTTTTCTCCATGCAGCATCACCGAGCATTATGCAGCGTCGGCGGGTTTGGAACCTCTTGGGACTTTGCAGCCCCAGCCAATGGCCCTGAACTAAACATGAGAACGGAAGTCCAAGGTTTCGACCGGATGCTGCTTACAAGTAGCCATGGCGTCTTGCTTGGACATTCGCACACATTGAACAGCTGCCGGCTGGCCAAGCCGCAGGTGGTTCATAACATTCCTGCAGTTCGCATCAACAAGCAGCCAGTGTGCTGTAGAGGCCCCCAGCAATCTTGCCTCACCTTGGCCTTATCGATTCTATGTCTAGGTCAGGTGGTCCGACTAGTTGTAGCCTGATCTTACTCTGCCTTGTCAAGGCGAACTCGCAAGCGCATGCAAGCGCGGGAAAGTATAAGATTCTACTTTCTAAAGTGTTCTAAAGTGTTCTACGGCTACGACTGTTCTAAGCCATCTCACCGACGGCTGGCTACCACGAGCTTTCGTTGCTCAGGCTGTTGCTCGTGCTCTCACCTCATTGGCTTGACAGAGAGTTTCAGCTGGGAGCTTGAATCCACCATGCGATTTGGTGCAGCATGTGCAGCCCACCGCGCTCTGAGCTTCAGGCTTTCTGTGCTCTGCGAATCGAAGTTGAAGCTCATCGTAGGGGTGACCTGCGCATGGGCCCGCCTGATCTGCACAGCAACGGTGCCCCCTGGCTGCGGCCGAAGCCTGGCGAAACATGCCTGTGCTCTGCTCCTCGGCCTGGGCAGTGGCGCTCAGAGCTGAAGGCCAAAGACACTCAAGGGACACCTTTTGCACCCTAACATGCCCCTCACACGAAGCCGCACAAGCACCCCCGCCCCCTAGCTTCCAGATCGAACACCAAAAGCCAATTGCTGTCCACGGGTCACTGGAGGCTTGGCTCCTTGGATTCAATTTGCTGCTGACGTTGATGGTTTAACAAAGCTTGTGGCGATGTATGGCGACTATGCCATCGGCTACGCACACAGGCAGGTCTGCGACAGATCTGTCATGAGGCTGCAGCCACTTCCGCAGGGACCGCTCACGCCTGGCATTCATACCTGCCAGCCGCCGGCAGGTCGTAGCCGAAACATCAATCATGAGCTGCCTAGAAGAATGGTCATTTGAAAATGATCGGCGCACGTGCAAATTGAGCTTGGTCAGGGAACCAGTCGTACTTGCACATGTTCAGAATCTGAGAAACATGAATAAAGCTGTAGGAAACTCTCAATTCCGCCGTCAACTGCATCGATGCACATCCCGAAATGTCCGAAGTTGCTAAGATGCTTTCAACATGTGCGTGAAGCAGCTTCTCATCCACATACTGTGCTGAAATCTCAAGGCCACTGGCATAGTAAAGTACTTCGTCATGCAGCCAGTAGAGCGGTGACCTCGAGAAGTGCTCCAAGACTCGCACTTTGCCCCATTCGAGCAGCAACGACCCAAAACCCGCTATGCAGTAGTATACCATCACCTCAAGCCTCGCGGAGCTCAGGCTCAGCATGCTCAGGTCTTGGCTCAGGCTTCCGGGCACACAGAAGCAGGAGCCAGGCCGCCTGATTCTGTTTCAGGCTTTTGTTTTCACATCTCAGAGAATTATCTGATGTCCATATCGGGGCTCTGATCTTGCACTGATGCTGTTAGATCCAGCACAGGCGCCAGTAGGGAGCCGCATCACGTCCGCGTGTCTGATGTATAACTGTATAACTCAACATTCAATCATGCCTCTTAGTTGCTGGGTCTCCCAGCCCAAGGCAAGACATTCTGGAAGCGTACTCATCACTCATCTGCGATTCCATCTTTAACCAACTCTTCCAGGACACGCCCTATCAACCAATCTATGGGAATCATAATATGACGATGGCAGTTTCCCGGCTATGCCACTGACACCCGAAGCTGCGAAGCATCTTGGCAGACGAGCCTCCTTGAAGGCAGGCCTTACGCATGGTGTGTCGGCATATCTACTGACTCGCGGCAACTCCCCCGATATCTTGGACAAGGATGGCACAAGATGCTGGCTGCAATGACACACTACTGGACTCTCACCGATACGAAAGACGGCTAAACCTGTTACCTTGTATGCACTTGCTTGAACAATCCTGAACACCGAGCCGTTCTGTCTCGTTCATTGCTTTTGTGCTTTTCGAAACATGAAGCCTCTACTCATAATGATAGGCCTTCGAAAAAACTTCAATTCACCGTCGTTAGTGTCCTGGCTTCTCCTTCAAGGTCGAGGCGGAAAGCGTTGATGGACGTTCGCCACGGGATTCCAGAGGATGTAGTTCACACCATAGGAAACACGGCCTGCATCATGCCATAGGACTTCTGAGGATGGGTTTAATTCGCCTCGGCTTCCAGCCAAGGAGCGCTAGAATCCGCTAGAACAAGCAGACCAGGATCTGGTCTCCCTCGCCCAACCCCGCATCCCTGCAGCCCTAAGGAGAACCCACGAAACGGCCCCCTCCTAGGACCGTTGCGCATGCTACACCCCACGTTGGGCAGCCCGGCTGCCGAGGCGGCGCGCGCAAGCGTTTACAATTACCATGTGTCGCTGCAAGTACTAGGGTCTGCAAGGGAAGTGGTTAGTTGTTTTTGGTTTGAATGACCTTGCGGTGGAATGGCCCAGGGGTTTGCCAAGATGTTTCAAGAGCAGGTTTTGAGTCTTAGTTGGAACCCCACAACTCTTTGATGGCGCGCTGTGCGCCTACGAATTCCCGACGCTCTCGCCAGGGAAAGCCCCACCTTGGCATCAAGACACACGCACGCACGCACGCACGCACGCACGCACGCACGCACGCACGCACGCACGCACGCACGCACGCACGCACGCACGCACGCACCCACGCACCCACGCACCCACGCACCCACGCACCCACGCACCCACGCACCCACGCACCCACGCACCCACGCACCCACGCACGCACGCACGCACCCACCCACGCACCCACCCACCCACCCACCCACCCACCCACCCACACACACACACACACCACCCACACACACACACACACACACCACACACACACACACACACACACACACCCACCACCGCACCCGCACCCGCACACGCACACGCACACGCACACGCACACGCACACGCACACGCACACGCACACAGCACACGGCACACGCACACGCACACGCACACGCACACGCACACGCACACGCACACGCACACACACACACACACACACACACACACACACACACACACACACACACACACACACACACACACACACACACACACACACACACACACACACACACACACACGCGCAAGAGAGCGCTCCGACGTTCAGCCGCCAATCGAAAAAGCGCTTCCCTTCACCCCTTTGCCGGCCTGGAGACTACCTACTCCCCTACGTGATGAGATGAAAGGTTGGTTGGCCTCGCGCCAAACAATACGCGCAGTGCAGGACTTCGTGGAGTGCTGCGTGCAGGTGGTGTCCATGTAGACCTTCGTTCTACCATTTCTACCGCACGCCAGCTCCGCGTCCACTGTTGCTTCCCTTTCCTTCGTCGCGTCCTCCCTTCTCTGTTGCCCTTAGTGCCGCCTGGCGGGGGGCTTCTGGATGGGT